GAGGTTAACGAAGAAATTCCACTGTACGTGACCGTTGGACTTGTGGGAATTTGTCTCCGAGGAGAACGTTTACAACATTACGAGTCAAAAGCTAGCTTATATTTCGATTCCCAGAGCTTTGTTCAACCTTTTCACAGTTCTAGGAGGTCTTTTATTGCCATCGATGTAAAATATTGCCGATGGATCTCGTCAAAGCAGAAATATGGCGAAGTTTTGCGAAGGTGACGTTTATCATGTCCAGTTTGGTCGTCATCACCTCGGGTAAGTAGATCTACAGATTTTTGAGACCTTAATTTGTCAATTTGTCCAACTGTGCTCCTTAACCTCCATTGACGGTATTTGTTGTTGCCTTTCTTTTCGAAGCGTACGTTTGCGAGTTAAAAATTATTAAAGCTTCTAAGTTCTTGTGTACATGTAATTTTCTTTCGTTATGACGCAGTTTAAGCTTATTACGCAGTATTAAGACACTCTTTAACGAGCTACGCGAGGGAAGCATTATAAATGAGGTGTCGTTTTCAAAGTAATTCAGGATGTTGTGGTATTGAAGTTCAATTTGATTTTCTGTTCATGTTTACAAAGTGGTGAAATGTTTAAGCTTCCGTCTGTAACGCGCACAGACTCTTTTTCTGCTAATGAATGCAAGCTATGGGTTGTGATCAAAGTGCCCGAAAAGCATTAATACTGCTTTATTGCTGCTACAAATGTAAATCATACTACCATCATTTAAAGAGCATTGAAATTACGGTAGCCATCAAACCTTGTTGCTGCCTTGAAGTACATATAACTCATTCCAAATATTCGGAAACTACATATTATGTGATCCCAAATGTTATAGACACTTTGTAATGAATTATGTACGGTGTAGACTCCGTACTTTGACTGGCCTAAAGTGCTAAAGTCACTCAAAGACTTTCAAGGGATAATATTTTCAAAAAAAAAATGTTTTCATGCCAAATTAGTGATTACTATTTTATGGGCATTTTCCAAAAAAAAAAATATAAATTTCCAAAACTTCAGACCTACATGTATGCGAGTTACACGTATCCACAAAAAATATTTCTAAAATAAGGAAACAGTCTGCAAATTGACATGGGCCAAAATTTTGGAATGCGTCAAATGCAGCAAGTTGTAACAGTGGCAGTCTCGTCTGCAGACTAAGGTTCTCATGCTTTAAGTATTGGCTTCTATTTTCTTTCAATGACTGTGTGCATCCTCTAAAGCTTCAGCTAAATTATCAAATTTCAGAAATATTAACCCTCCACAATATTGAAAGAATATGTTAACTACAAGGATTTTATATAAATGCCAGGGACACATTAAGTAGGATATTAAATCAGAGCTCAAAAAACGTTTCGTCAAATAAAGTATACTGATCAAATAAAGTATGTATTGTATGTATTTATTAATTACTATTTTTTGATTTTATTTTTTAGCCTTTAGTTGCAACTTTGATACATCCATGTGTGGTTTTGTCCAGGACAGTAATGATAACTTTGACTGGACGCGACATCAGGGAAGCACTACTTCTAGTGGTACTGGACCATCTGCTGACCACACCACAGGAAATGGTATGGACATAGACCTTTCTTGATTACATCTTCCTCCTTTACTTCATTTGAAAACAGGAAGTGATCTTATTTATTGTTAAAAGGTGGAATTTTATACCCAAGGAGGGGATCTAGTAATAAATGTAATGAGGTAAAAACTACTTTTTTAACAGAGGTCGTGATTTTGTTTTCGTAAATATACAAATAGAAGGATGCTCTTTCATACTCAATAGATTGATAGTACATGTATAAACACAGAAATCATCATTTGCTCTTTTAACAACAATGCGCTCAAGAAATGCGTCAATGGCAAAACTTTTTATATCGTGGTCACAGTGAGGGCCCAGTAGTTTTTGGATGTTGTTTACTCGTTGCAGTGATGAAGTTTCACGATAAAAATTAATTTGCAAGTTTATGGCTACTAAATAGCCCCAACAGGTGGTTGGTGATGCCAACAATCACATTGTTGTACATTGTCAACTGACAAACCACAACATTGACTGGGACTCTGCTCAGTGCTTAACCTACAGCACAAACTGTTTTCAACAACTGACTCTGGAGAGCTGGTACACTAACCTAGAACAAACGCCTCTTAACAGATGTCAACAACTACCGGCGCCTTACAAACGATGTATCCATGACAGAAACAAAACCTACAAATGGACTTCCAACAGACCAACTTAATTTGACTAACAATAGACGGACCAAAAACCGACCAATTTGACTAACAATTGACGGATTGAAACTGACCAATGACTGATGACAAACTTTATACGAGTCTTTCAGCCAATACCGTCATGGCTAAACTGACCAATCACGTTCAACAGACCAGACTGATAACATCTTCAACTGACAAACACTATTCACTTGACTCTGAAGATCACTTCCACTCAGGTTGTCAAAATGCCATTCACCAGCAACAGTTCTTTTCACAACTACCCTCACCCAGACGATCACACTATACAAACTAAAGTCTATGCTAGATTTGAATAGGACAGGATTAAATAGGTAAAGTCTGCATGCGAGGCAAGTGGCCCATCAGGCCGAAGCTTATCCCGGTTTCTGTAGCATGAAGCGACTAGGAGTATTTCTACTCC